AAAGAAGGAGAGAGGGGGGAGCGAGAAGTGGGAGGGTGAGAATCCAATGGAAGGGCAGGGTGAATCCAAGGGAAAAGGAGGGTGCGATGACGGGAATGAGACTCGAGGCGGGGAGAATGGAAGAGGGGAGGAAGACGGAGCGAGGAAGGGAGCGAGTCGAAGAAGGGATGTGGGAGCGAAGGAAAAAGGGAGCGCGAAGTGAGGAGACAAAGAAGTGCAACAAAAAGACGAAGCAACTGGTAGCATCGGAATGTGTGTAGGTGGCGAGACGCCCCCGAGTTATACTCTGTTTCTGGAGAGGTATACTGCAGGATAATGAATGCGACTGAAGGAAATTGAGTGTGTAAGTAATCCAGGGAAGCCCTGTGTAACTGAAGGAACCTGGGTGCATCCTCGGAGAAACGAAGTGCAACTCAAAGGAAGCTGAGGGTATGGGAAGGCACCTTCATGCAACATGGTAAACTAGGTGTACTTAGCACGCGAGTGCCGACGCCAGCCGCGGCCACAGTGGTCGCCGTAAACAAAAAACACCATCGCCAATCACCATTATCAGAAGCATCATCAGCCGCAGCATATTCATCGTTTCCATCGTCACCACCAGAATCAAAAACAACATGACCGTCCTCATCATGATCACCATGATCGTCCTCATGATGCTCGCAATCGTCCTCCCTGTCGTCCCCATTACCAACCTACAGTGAAAACAGAGAGAGTTCTGGGGACCACGACCCATCGCACGCCAACAGTAGCGCGGCCTTTCACGCCAACGAGTGCGTGATGAAGCTCTTGCGCCTCGCTCTGGCTTCTCTCTCTCTCTCTTTTCTCTTTCTCTCTCTCTCTCGCTCTCTCTCTCTCTCTCTCTTTCTTTCTCTCTCGTTCTCTCTCCCTCTCCATGCATCACTATTTTCCTTCTTTATCTCCCGATATCATTCCTCTGTCTCTCTCTCTCTCTTATCTCTCTATTCCCCTTCTCTGTTTCTTGATACTTTTCTTTGTTATCTATCTCTGTATATATATACACACACGTAAATGTGTATACAACTATATATATATATATATATATAAATTAAAATATAAAAAATGATAGTATCCGCCGTGCCCTTGAGGAACGAGTCGGAGTGTCCTCAGGTCCTTTGCCTAAGTACTCCCTGAAGCCTGTCCCCCATCCTGAGGATTCCATCAGGGGCCCGGATCCCAGATCCACAAAACTCTTGGGGCTTCCCGCGCGCACTCGGGGCCCACCCGCTTGTTGTCGCAGGACTCTCTCGGGGCGAAGAGAGCCCCAAGACGACCGAAGACAACCCCAAGAGGCCGCCCAGACGGTCCGAGGGTAATTACCCCGAATCGCTATGCGATCGGTCCAAGACGCTGAGGGTTGCTTGAAGATGGCCCAGGAAGCCTCCAGGACGCCCCGAGAGGCCTGCAAGAGCAGTGTTTTGGGGGGTTTTCGAGCTTCCGACTCTCCAGGACGGCCCAAGAGGCCGCCCCAAGAAGCGCCAGAACAGCCCAAGAGCCAAGACGGCCCCACGAGCGGCCGCGCCGCCGGGCTGGTGAGACGCTTCCCCCGGCCGACCCTGACGAGCGTCTGGTGAGAGCAAATGTTTGAGCACTACGTGAGCGTTTTCTTGCTCGGCGGTTCGAAATTGGCCGGAAGGGGGGGGGGTCTGGCTCTGGACCTCTGCTTAGTGCGACTGTTTGTAAACAGTGCGTTCGCGTCCTATAGGGGAGACTCCACCTGCTCGAAACAGGCGCCAAAAACAGCCAAGATCTACTCCATGGGGGGGGGAAAGTGGGGTGCGAGGACCCGCGCCGATCAGCAAAAAAATGAATAAGAAAACAATCACGATCAGGACCCTCTAGCAAACGGCTGCTCGGGAAAAGAGTGCTCTTCAGCTTGCCGCGGGCCTTCCCAGACCTGGCTCGGCCAAGACGTGGAGCCACCTCCGGGGCCGCGAGCGGCTCCTCCCAAACCGGGCTCCGCCCATCTCAGGCTTGGCGGCATCCTGCAGGATCTGGCGTTCTGGCTGCTCCCCCTTGGCGCTGAGCCCCGTTACGCGAGATCTTTTTTTTCTCTCTCTCTCTCTCTCTCTCTCTCTTTTTCTCTCTCTCTCTCTCTCTCTCTCTCTCTCTCTCTCTCTCTCTCTCTCCTCCAGCTCAACCCCCCCTCGAGCAACGAGCAGAAACAGTTCCCCGTGCGCTCCCCTCCCCCCGCGGCCCTCGCCGCTCCGTGTCGGCGGCGCGCAGCAGCGAGTGCGCCTCGCCCGAAGTGCGGGGGGGGGGACGGGGGGGACGGCGGGGGCAGTGGCCGCGCGGCCCCGAGGGTCGGGAGACGTCAGCGGACCACCTTACGGAGAAGATCTATACCCATCGGTCAGAAGAAGTAGGTAGAAACATAAAGCAGAAAGGTGTTGAAAACAGTTTGGGTGTCCGCCCGCCCCCGAAAGAGGACGGAAAAGGTGAAGCCACTCGATCATTGAAGTAGGAAGGCGCTTAAAGAAGATTGGACTGGGACTCCAAAAATACCTACTTTCAACGACCGATGGGAACCCATGCCCAAAAACCCGAGACGCAGGGGAAATGAAAACCATCTGGCCTCGTTAAAAAGAGGGCCCGGCTTTTAGCCTCGTCCACGGCGTCTCGGGCTTCCAGGGGAAGGAGCCCGAAGATCCGAGACGCGGTGGATGCGCTGCCTCCTCTTGCCCGCACAGCTCGCCGATCCTGGCTGGGCCGATCCTGGGCCGAACAGGGAGGGCCTACATCGGAGAGACGTAAGACTGAAGGGGCCCAAGGACACACAAATAAATACACACAAATAAAATGATTCCCCATATTTTTCCATATTTTCTGGGTTTTTGTCTTCCCCCCCACTTCCCATAGTTTCCCATATTTTCCTGGGGATCGTCGATGAATTTCTGTGTGTTTTTTCCCTCCTGAAAGACTCGGGTTCGGGGGACTCGGGTTGGCCTGGCGAGATCATCATGAAAATGACGAGACCCCATCCGAAAATTGACGCGACCTCCCGCTGCGAACGTCCCACGGAAACTGGACCGTCAAAATCCAAGACGTGCCTCGTCAAAAGGCGTCGGCAAACCCGATCTCCGGCTTACTCGAGTCTTACGTTTCCCCGACTGCCCACCGATCCTGGGCCCAGGGTGTTCCCGGCCAGGATCGGTGAGGTGGTCCGCCAGCATCGCCCGACGGGTCTGCACTCGCGGGAGGGAGAGAGCGGCCAGACCGCGAAGAGAGCGCCTGGCCACGAAGCTCGACGCGCTCCCGCACACGAGTACCGTCTGCGGATGCTGCGGCGTTTCCACCAGGGTGTCAGAATTTTCTGGACTGATCGCGCGGCCCACTCAGCGGTGATGCACCGCAAAAATCGGTTGCCACATCATTACGCTACCGAGGAACCCCACATACATATATGATGGCTGGAGAGATGAAAGCTGAAGTGAAGCATGTGAGAATGATGTTGGTGGCCGTTGCCCCGCCGATACCGCTGTGCCCTGGACCACCGTCATGGATAGCGGCCGCGGTGAGAGACCACCCCCTGCGCACCCCCTTATGGTGTCGAGAATATGTCATGCCTGCTGTGCCCTGGACGACCGTCACGGATAGCGGCCGCGGTGAGAGACCACCCCCTGCGCACCCCCATGTGGTGTTGAGAATATGCCATGCCTGCTGTGCCCTGGACGACCGTCACGGATAGCGGCCGCGGTGAGAGACCACCCCTTGCGCACCCCCTACGCTGTCGAGAATATGCCATGCCTGCTGTGCCCTGGACGACATTCACGGATAGCGGCCGCGGTGAGAGACCACCCCCTGCGCACCCCCTTACGGTGTCGAGAATATGCCATGCCTGCTGTGCCCTGGACGACCGTCACGGATAGCGGCCGCGGTGAGAGACCACCCCCTGCGCACCCCCTATGGTGTCGAGAATATGCAATGCCTGCTGTGCCCTGGACGACCGTCACGGATAGCGGCCGCGGTGAGAGACCACCCCCTGCGCACCCCCTATGGTGTCGAGAATATGCCATGCCTGCTGTGCCCTGGACGACCGTCACGGATAGCGGCCGCGGTGAGAGACCACCCCCTGCGCACCCCCTATGGTGTCGAGAATATGCCATGCCTGCTGTGCCCTGGACGACCGTCACGGATAGCGGCCGCGGTGAGAGACCACCCCCTGCGCACCCCCTATGGTGTCGAGAATATGATGCCTGCTGTGCCCTGGACGACACGGATACGGATGCGGCCGCCACGAGTCACGGATAGAGAGACCACCCCCTGCGCACCCCCTATGGTGTCGAGAATATGCCATGCCTGCTGTGCCCTGGACGACCGTCACGGATAGCGGCCGCGGTAAGAGACCACCCCTTGCGCACCCCCTACGCTGTCGAGAATATGCCATGCCTGCTGTGCCCTGGACGACCGTCACGGATAGCGGCCGCGGTGAGAGACCACCCCCTGCGCACCCCCTATGGTGTCGAGAATATGCCATGCCTGCTGTGCCCTGGACGACCGTCACGGATAGCGGCCGCGGTAAGAGACCACCCCTTGCGCACCCCCTACGCTGTCGAGAATATGCCATGCTTGCTGTGCCCTGGACGACCGTCACGGATAGCGGCCGCGGTGAGAGACCACCCCCTGCGCACCCCCTATGGTGTCGAGAATATGCCATGCCTGCTGTGCCCTGGACGACTGTCACGGATAGCGGCCGCGGTGAGAGACCACCCCTTGCGCCCCCCCTATGGTGTCGAGAATATGCCATGCCTGCTGTGCCCTGGACGACCGTCACGGATAGCGGCCGCGGTGAGAGACCACCCCTTGCGCACCCCCTACGCTGTCGAGAATATGCCATGCCTGCTGTGCCCTGGACGACCGTCACGGATAGCGGCCGCGGTGAGAGACCACCCCCTGCGCACCCCCTATGGTGTCGAGAATATGCCATGCCTGCTGTGCCCTGGACGACCGTCACGGATAGCGGCCGCGGTGAGAGACCACCC